AAGTGAAGAGACCAAAACGTGTACGTTACAGTTAATGATGATTGATAACCGTTAAAGAGATTCTGAAGGCTGACTATGAAGTACAAGACTTACATACGTTCTCTCCACTCAAATACACAGGAAATGACAACTAACGTTCAATGTCTGCTATTTCTTTAAACCATATTTACAGCACGTTTTATCAGTTGATTGAAATGGTTTCCATACTTCAATGTGATTATTAATATTATTCGTATAATTATGCACAGAACGTAAAAAGGATTTTGAGCTCTTAAGAAATATACACACTAGCATCCAAAGATGGAGTTCATATACCTGTGAATTAGTGAACGTTTGATATACTCTGTTACAAACAGTTATATAATAGACTGAATAAAATCTACTCCCTCAGAAAACTCCAATATGTTTTGGTGATAAATTTTATTCTTTTCTTCAGTCCAGTTTCAAGTGCTCTAAAATGTATTTCATCTGAATTTATTCAACAGTGCCATGTCATTATGAACACTAGTACGAAGTAAAGTACTTCCGCCAATGAACTTGAAATCTCTTATCGTGTCTGTTCATGTTACAGGTGGTGTCATGGTCTTTGGTTCTTTGCCAATTATTTCCGTACTATGATGAATTGTTCCCTGTGAAGAAGATATAACAGTATAATCGACTCTTGAAACATTATAATTCTAACCATTGTATTGAGTTCACCCACTATAATTGCACTGAATATGTTGTAAATATTTGCATTTCCTTGCTCAGCATGATTTCTGAACTGAAGTCTTCCATCGAACGTCCTGTTGTCTTTCATCGTTTATCTTGTCATTGTTTCGTGATCCACTGGCAGTGGATCAAAAATTGTAAGTAAAAATGAGCGTTCGCCACCGAATCGATTTTTGTGTACCATCGACCTTCATTCCAGTCATAAAATTGTTAGAGTTTGCAAATAGTATTGCACGTTATGATTTACGGATATACGAATGCAGAGAAACATCACCTCGTAAAGAAAATGAAACATTCAATATTGATTAGGAAAGCAACGTCATTTATTCAGTGTGAACCGATAAGACGATTTGTGGTTTACGACTCGAATATCTGATTTCGATCAAATTTCTTTACAAAAGCATGTGAATTCGCCTGTCATATCGAAATGTATAAGTGGATGCAGTCAAGCGTCTGGAATCACCAACATAAATAACACTGACAAGCTTTGAGATGGCATCACAGTCATTACTCAAAAGTCTGGTGATACCTGTATTTTTAGGTGCTTCAAATTGTTGACCAAGAAGTATAAGTTGATTTCGCAATTTCGAGTAACTTTTAATTGGCGAATAATGCCTAACACCTATGAGATTATCTGATTTGAATAAACCTTGGATTCGTTATGTAGCTTATGTGTGTTTATTCATTTTATATTAAAGTTTATGTACGTGTCATTAGTAATTATGATATCTCACTGTTTTGAATAAATCATCAGACGTGATGGTTTTATATGTCTTCAGTGGAGCAAATGATTTTCAGTATACAAACAAGTGAATCGGTAAAATATGCCGTCAGCAATCACGAGACTGTTGCTTTAAAACTCGGTGTTGCAATTTGAGTGTCTCATCAGGTTAGAAGTGAGTCTACATTGAAACGTAATGAGTTTGAAAACGAAGTAACTAGCTAATAACGTATGTATGGATGTTATGTAATTTAAATGCGACTAGCGAATAGTTTGGATTAGATAAGAGATCATTTCAAACTTCGGTCTAAACGCGGTATAGCGGTAGAAGAACCATGGATTTCCCTAAATCGAAAAAATCGAATATGAGGTATTACAACATTCATATCGACTTGACGTGCAGCTAGGATACATATTCGCTCGTTGTAATTCAGCTGTAAATTTTGTATAACCTGATAGTCGTTGTTTTTGATCACTGATTAGGTGGGGAGAAGTGTTTTAATAATATGCAGATTACTTATAAATTGTTGTAGGTTCAACTGTGGATTAGATTGAATTCTTGTGGTTAGCCAGGTCTAGGCATGTCATATGCTCACAACAGGGTTATGGCAAACAGGCAAATGAGCTCCATGCATTTGATTCTGACGGTGTTTTTTCGACAGGTCGTCTAGTGTCTGCAGATATAGAAGGCCCAACAAATAGGTGAATCGACCAATGTTTTGCTCTTCTCTATGCGTGTATTTATTTATTATATCTCGCTAGTTCTGAAAAACTGATTTATTACTGTTACGTTTTATTAATCATCAGTCTGTAAATGTCAGTGACATGACGTTAACAGGAATGAAATGAATTACTGTAGTCAAAATTGAATCATTTTGTTATTGCAAAACTAAGATAGAACGTGCATTAGAACTCCAATAATCGTCCATAAGACTGAGACAATCTCCTATAGCAACTCGTTATAACCCAAAGGCATTGATATGAACCGAATACCTCCTGACAATAAGATTAGTTAGGCCTAATATAAATGAAGCTACTTTTCATTTAATGTTGACACTGGCTTCAACAGAAAAGTATTTGTGGCGTACATTTGGCTCATTCGAATTCAACTTGTTTCCACTGAATGTGATAGATCCCCATAAACCATAAAAATGTGTATGCATCCAAATTAAATTTTCATGAAAAGAGTTACGCTTAGTTCTCATGACCAATTTAGTTGGTGGTTTTCATTGATATTCAATACTTAGTTTAAAAGCTAAAATGATTTCATTATAGTTTTGATAATTGTTTGCATAAAGAAGGAAAAAACTCTACTGCAAATTAACAGTGGTTGAAGAGTATTTGGCATTTGTGGAAAACCGACGATTGGCAAGAACTGTGCATCATTTCGTACACAGAGATATCTGCCGCTTATCTGTTGGTAACATTCAGTTCTCTGTGATTTTGTATGAGTTCACCGTGAGGGCTTGCGTGTGATGATCACAAATAATGGAATTTGAAACACTGACTAGCAACACGTGAAAAACACTGATAAGTACTTTCGCGGTCCTGTATGGAGATTATTAATAGCGAGTATATATAACAAAATGGAATAACGGCATGATTATTTAGGCCAAAATTTCATAATAACTTTTGAACAATAAGTGCCGCTTGAAAACATCCGGCCACCCATGTTTCAGATACGCATTGGTATACATCTAAAGTATTGATTATTGTCTTGAAATCACACTAAAGGTCAAGGTAATAAGTACGAAGTGTACGGTAAGTGAGTAAATTTGAAGTACAACATCACTCTAGAGAATTTTTAGTGAATGTACAAAGGAAGATTCATGTCCCGCATCTCAAACAAGGGAGTTGAATAATAAAATTCAAAATAGAACTGACACGATAAGACAAGTGTAAAACAAAGAGGGAATAGCATTGAGTAGCGTCTATTATAGTGTGTACCTGTAGGAGTTTACCGCGTTCGTTCACCTACAAGTTGAGATAGACGCATTATATCAAGTTTGAAATCACAACCGTCAACAAAATCCTCGAAACCAAATATAAGAAATGGACATAAACTAAAACATAGCTTATCTCAAGCAAACGACGGAGGACAGAAGTAAGTCTATGATCAAACGATATTTATTACTGACCACAAGAGCAAAAATCATCCTGACATATAGCATCACCTGAAATTTCAGTGACTAGGCACTTCAATCCTTCCTGAAATCTGGCTGGAGATCAACCTAAACCTAATATAAAGTAGGTGCGTTTCAACAGATATAAACAGTGGTGATCCTTGTCAAAAATGATAAAAGTTTATCAATGATAATCCGTAGATAAATATTCTTAAATGAGCAACGTTGCTTACTTCACAACAATAACGTCGAATAAAAAAATCATCGGCGCCAACTGTGATGTAAATGTGCCCATTAAAACTGGAAATCAATGTGCAACGCTGAGTTCTTATCCTTCCACAGCACTTATCATACGCAGTTGTCAATTCTTTAATCAAAACACCAGAGTCTTGTGTGAAGCTGATTATGACAACACCAGTTTATATCTATCTATAGATTAAGCTTTGAATGAAATAATTGACCATATACCGTCCGTGACAACAACAAAATCATGCAAGGAATCATAATCAGTCTTGAGAACATCGAGTTAACAATAGTTTGTCGCCTAACTTGTACTGAACGTTAAGTCATCAAGTAACGAAAAATAAAAGTGTCTATATTTGTATTCATAAGCTATCATGGTCGCTCAGTATAAAACAATGGCTGTAGTTAATTCCGAATGATATTGTTCAGTAGTGAGATTTTATTGGAAATAAACATTCACAACGGACTCATTGTTGATTGCAACTATCGTAAAATCACGTTTACACAATACTACTAATTTGAAAACAAAATGTTGTCAAACTCTAGCGAAACAAGTCAGTTGCCGATGCCACAAGTAGTTGGAGTTTGACAAAGTCTTAACCAGTAACACCTTCTATTATGAATCGTACCCACCAAGTGAAATCAAAAGTCAGAAGCTAGGAAGTTCGAAGATATGTTTGATAGGCTATTAATATATCGAATATCGTCTGATCTAATCTGGCTAGCGATTGCAGGGTTTGTTGAGCACGGCGTTATCACTCGTGATCTGATGTGGATGCATAACCGAGCATCTTCACCCAGTGAGTGCATTAAAACTAATATGATCAGTACCCAATGTCGAAAGCTGATAGAGCTATTTATGAGATGGTAGGGGGATTTATTTAACGCTACACAGTTTCTATTCAATGAAGACAATTAGGCAAATAGTAAAAATCCAGTTTCTATATTTTGTCAACAAGATTACATAAGTTGTTATGTTAATAATCATAAGAATGTACATAACTCCATAAAGAAATTGTCCAAACTATTGAAATGAATAATGATATGAAAAGTGTTCTAAAGAAGTACTACATGAAAACAATTTGGAATAATCAAACAAAGTTATAAGACATTTGTGAGAATCATTCTTCACTTCACTTTCTTTGATGTAGCCATCTCCAAATTATTAAACCAACACAGACAACAAAGAAAATGGTGACTAAAGGAATCACGATATACAAGTACGGGAGTGATTTCTTCTCTACATTCTCTTCAGTAGTCGTGTTCTGAAGAAAAACAAAAAATTAGCATTTATTACTACATATCAAATATTTACCGAGTGTTGATCAGTTTCTTCTGTAGTTTCCTTGGGGCTTTCTGTAACCGGAAATTCACCAGCGCTTGATGTTGTTTCAATGTGTTTGGTAGGTGTTTGTGTACTCAACTCGTTCACTTCTGGGTTATGCTTAATAAACAAAACAAAAGCATTGATTACCAAATGTCAATTAATTCACTAATCATCATGCACAATTGTCAACACTGATAATAGAATAATATTCAACAAATAGTTACTCAATTTGCATTTATACAATCATTTAGAGCATCTACTACCGATTTGACAGTCTGTATGCTGAGTACACGCCATTCTGAAACCAACAGAAGACTCAATTGTGTGATGAAATTTGTGTTCTGAATGTCGCATCTAATCACAATGCGAATAAAAACCAATAAACTTATAGTCGACTTTTTAATTAAAGTAGTGTATCTAGGTTACATATTACTGAGCAGAACGTCAGAAATCCTTGTTCGAAACTTCAACAATGGAGTCTGCTTCCATTAATTATCAATATATGACACACTATTTCCAACAGGTTACACTTCTTCAATCAAACTGTTTTCATTGGTATTTTGCGACAATCCACATAGATATGCGGTTTCTAAAATAACATTACCTTCAATGAGCTGAAATATCATTATTTTTTTCGAGGATTAGTGACAATGATCACTTCGATCCATTGTTTACTCATTCCATAGAAAGAAAGCATCGTATTCATATGTACTTTAATTTAGTCATTGAGGGTAGTGTACAAGTAGTGTTTTCAGGAAAAACAAAGTAATAGCACTTATTACATATCAAATACTTACCGAGCGTTGATCAGTTTCGTCACCAGCGCTTGATGTTGTTTCAATGTGTTTGGTGGGTGTTTGTGTAATCAATTCGTTCACATCTGGGTTATGCTTAATAAACAAAACAAAAGCATTGATTACCAAATGTCAATTAATTCACTAATCATCATGCACAATTGTCAACACTGATAATAGAATAATATTCAACAAATAGTTACTCAATTTGCATTTATACAATCATTTAGAGCATCTACTACCGATTTGACAGTCTGTATGCTGAGTACACGCCATTCTGAAACCAACAGAAGACTCAATTGTGTGATGAAATTTGTGTTCTGAATGTCGCATCTAATCACAATGCGAATAAAAACCAATAAACTTATAGTCGACTTTTTAATTAAAGTAGTGTATCTAGGTTACATATTACTGAGCAGAACGTCAGAAATCCTTGTTCGAAACTTCAACAATGGAGTCTGCTTCCATTAATTATCAATATATGACACACTATTTCCAACAGGTTACACTTCTTCAATCAAACTGTTTTCATTGGTATTTTGCGACAATCCACATAGATATGCGGTTTCTAAAATAACATTACCTTCAATGAGCTGAAATATCATTATTTTTTTCGAGGATTAGTGACAATGATCACTTCGATCCATTGTTTACTCATTCCATAGAAAGAAAGCATCGTATTCATATGTACTTTAATTTAGTCATTGAGGGTAGTGTACAAGTAGTGTTTTCAGGAAAAACAAAGTAATAGCACTTATTACATATCAAATACTTACCGAGCGTTGATCAGTTTCGTCACCAGCGCTTGATGTTGTTTCAATGTGTTTGGTGGGTGTTTGTGTAATCAATTCGTTCACATCTGGGTTATGCTTAATAAACAAAACAAAAGCATTGATTACCAAATGTCAATTAATTCACTAATCATCATGCACAATTGTCAACACTGATAATAGAATAATATTCAACAAATAGTTACTCAATTTGCATTTATACAATCATTTAGAGCATCTACTACCGATTTGACAGTCTGTATGCTGAGTACACGCCATTCTGAAACCAACAGAAGACTCAATTGTGTGATGAAATTTGTGTTCTGAATGTCGCATCTAATCACAATGCGAATAAAAACCAATAAACTTATAGTCGACTTTTTAATTAAAGTAGTGTATCTAGGTTACATATTACTCAGCAGAACGTCAGAAATCCTTGTTCGAAACTTCAACAATGGAGTCTGCTTCCATTAATTATCAATATATGACACACTATTTCCAACAGGTTACACTTCTTCAATCAAACTGTTTTCATCGGTATTTTGCGACAATCCACATAGATATGCGTTTTCTAAAATGACCACACCTACAATGAGCTGAAATGTCATTACTTTTTCGAGGATTAGTGACAATGATCACTTCGATCCATTGTTTACGCATTCCATATTAAGAAAGCATTGTACTCATATATGATTATTTGGCCTCAATGCATACAAAAGTTTAATTTAGCTTTTGAGGGTAGTATACGAGTTATTTTTTATTCGTAAAGAAAAAATATTCCTTTGGCTGAATGGATGTACGCGAAATGTGTAATTTTCTAATATTGAAAACGATCTGTGAAGATTAAGAAGTACTAACCTTAACACGGCACTTAGTAACTTTCATGTTATGAGCATCCTTGTCAGTACTATCAATGCATAGCTTCGCTTTATCACACCAAAAACAAGTTATATCCGATGTTGTTGCCTGTTGGCATGCTTCAGGTGAAGTGTATTTTGGACAATAGTCTGTGAAAAGAATCAGATGATTTAATCTCAAGTGACCAAACAAAAGGTAAGTGAATTACAAAACATGTAACAATAACCCAATGATCTAATGCTGATTTCGGCGTTAAGTGACAATTTCACTCACTGGAAAATTGTCACTACGATGCATAATGCAATATTCAGTGCGTCATCAATTTCAATCATGTTTCGCGACATCATGTTTGAATTGAATGAAACTATGTCGAGTGTCAAGTATGAACGATGGATTTCAATAACTGTTTACATTCAGATATGTATGCACGAAGCTGTCAGTGGACTCAGCAGGGCATATTACGTTGAATCATTTCATTGTTGTACAGTTTATTTAGATGATATCAGTTTTATGGATGCACTTAGTTCAAGAAATTCAGTTGTTTTCAGACCTAATAAAGAGTTTTAGTTACATTAATCCAGTCAAACGACAAACGAAGTCTGACATTGTTTTCGTAATGATCAATGATGATATTCTTGAAGAGATTTTAGTCGATCAACTGTGATGGATAATATCAAAGTATGTAACTGCATTCTGTGCTTCGTGCTATCAGTTATTCTATGAAACTAGTTGGATCATTAAAGATTCATTGATGATGAACGGAGTATCTTATTCGAAGAATATTGACGGCGATCTGATTATTCCATCATGGAATGATTCTCTCACTACTAAAAATATTATTTCAGTAGACTTAAACATGGTGAACTAAAATCTGTTTATAGTTCCTTAATGTACATATTCATGAGAAAGTACACATTTTCATAATGTGGAAATGGTCCTTAAACTGGCTATGATAAATTGTAATTTGGAAACGTGACTTATCCATACCTTCAATGTATCGTATATGTATGACGAAGCAAAGATTTCGGAAGATAGACAATCGTTTACGAAGCATTCGCATTTACGTTAACTGTTTCTTTTGCGAATTCACTACCTCAGTAAGATTTCATTTCACATGTATCAATAGAAAATACGGACACTTTCTCGTCAACGCGCAATTAACTAACAGACACTAAATCTTGTTCAAAACTAACATCATCTCATATATCGTTTTGTTGCTTTGTGGTCAAGTCACTTTTTGATCAAAGTGAAGACTTCACTATTGATTCAAATTGGATTTTGAGTCCTTTTCATCATTCAACAAAAGAATCGATGTGTAGTTATTAATGGTAAGTGAGACGTCATTTAGAATAGATAGCTCGATATCATTTGGTAGTTCAATAAAATTATACATGGAATATTCAAATCGTTGAAGTAAAATGGATGTTTTCAAGTGTGAAGATAATTATCACTGATTAAATAAGTTTTAACATACTTCCGATAAATTCATATTCCACCATCGTGCCACTATTGATCCATGCTTCAGGAGTGATTATTTGAAGTACTATTTTATCATGTGTGATAGAGTGAACAAGAAAAGACACATAAAGTTTTGAATTCGTTTATAAATACAACAGGTTATTTGCACCATTTAAGTCGTGGTCTAAACAAGGAACTGGGAAATGTCTCATATAAGATAAGTTGCTGATTACCTAGCATGCCCAAAACTTATTAAAGTACATCAAAATCGATCAATGTCCAACCAGTACCATTCGTTTAATTCGGTTTCATATAAAGCATACCTTATTATGAGTGGAGGCTGAGGACTAAAATAGTGACTTGTGTACTGTAAGTTAAAGAATAAATGAGTGTTAATGTAACTTCTTTAATTTCGTCATTCATATGTCCCCGTCCGAATGCGTTAATCGGTAACCATAAGATTGAGCCTCATCAAAATAGCCATCCCGACTCTGAGGGTAAATACATTCATACACCTTGGTTGCTTTACTCAAGATATCTGGTTAAGGGAGTATAAGGATATGTGGACGGTGTAATCTATTATTGGTGAAATTCACCACAGAAAGTTGAATCAACACCATAACGATCTCACTTTGAACCATTTCTGTGGAATCATCAAGTATGACAGTTGTTGATTTGAATACATATAAACTTGGATTTCAATTCATTTTATAATAGTGGTCCTATGTTCGAAAGCCCTAGTCGCAAATATCAAACACTTTGACTGACCGTCATGATCAGTGTGACACTGCAATTTTCCCACTAGAAGTGTGAACATCGATCTAACGTTGAATGTTCACAATTCAATAACATTTGAACAGTGCCTTTACAAGACGCATATCAATTTCATTTTGCACAATTATCCACAACGCTTCAATGACATTTATATCAGTTGATTTTACAAGCCAATCAAATCCTAAAGTCAAACTGTAACGAGACTAAATTAGATCACTGTGATAGAATGAAGGAATAATCTGTATTGACTAGGGTACAAACAGAAAGTAATATAACACAAACAGATAACTGATGATACGAGTACCCTGACATCAATGTGGTGACAACATTTATTGAAATGTTTCTTACTTTCTCCACAAAAGATTCTCGGTATCCATTCAATTCCTTTAATTTCCGTTGAAACCTGAAAGAAAATGTTAATAGTTTGAGTCAACATCTGTCAACACACAACCTCCTAAATGAAAGTGGGGTGATTTACTTCTAATCATTTACTGTTTTTAAAAAGTGCTTGAATAAGTTGTATCATCAAAGGTTGAATAATAGTGTCAAATATTCTGTTTGCACATTAAAGAATGTTGCTACATCTGTTTCGTGTTCAATGTAACTAGTTATATATTTGACAGTATTCATAAACATGAAATAGTTGAGTAATCTGAAGTACTTGAAATAAAACCACATTTGCATTCAATTGTTCAACTTACTTTATCATAATAGAAAACTATCTTCCCATTCGGATGTATTAGGCAAGTTACCTCGGCTGTAAACGCTACAATTAGAAAACCATCGATATTCAGAACATTCGAGGAAAACAATGATCAGTTTATCGGTAGATGTGACATTGTATATATCAGCTCATAAAGTGACCGTCTTTCAGTGAATAGTTACTGTGTTATGTTAAATATTTTCTTCAGTTGACTTCATCTTAAATAATTCCAAGTGCACGTCATGAGAATGAAAGAAGCATACAGCCTTCTAAACGAATATCAAATGCCTAATTTTGTATTACTTACTTACTTACTTACTTACGCCTGTTACTCCCAATGGAGCATAGGCCGCTGACCAGCATTCTCCAACCCACTCTGTCATGGGCCTTCTTTTCTAGTTCCATCCAATTCTTGTTCATTTTTCTCATGTCTATCTCCAGTTCTCGGCGTAATGTGTTCTTTGGTCTTCCTCTTTTCCTTTGACCTTCAGGATTCCATGTGAGGGCTTGTCTTGTGACGCAGTTGGGTGCTTTCCTCAATGTGTGTCCTATTAAACTTCCAGCGCTTCTTCCTGATTTCCCACTCCACTGGGATCTGGTTTGTTCTCTCCCACAGTTCGTTGTTGCTAATAGTGTCCGGCCAATGGATCTGAAGTATTTTGCGTAGACAATTGTTGATAAACACCTGTATTTTCTGGATGATGGCTTTTGTAGTTCTCCAGGTTTCTGCCCCATTCAGTAGAACTACCTTGACATTTGTATTGAAAATCCTGACCTTGGTGTTGGTTGACAGTTGCTTTGAGCTCCAGATGTTCCTCGGTTGTAAATATGCTGCTCTTGCTTTGCCGATCCGCGCCTTCACATCTGCATCAGATCCACCTTGTTCATCAATGATGCTGCCCAAATATGTAAAGGTTTTCACATCTTCCAAATCTTCTCCGTCAATTGTGATTGGATTGGTGCATTCTGTGTTGTATCGGAGAATCCTGCTTTTCCCTTTGTGTATATTGAGACCTATTGCTGCTGAGGCTGCTGCCACACTGTTTGTCTTCTCCTGCATCTGTTGTTGCGTTTGGGATAGAAGGGCCAGATCGTCTGCGAAGTCTAGATCATCCAACTGCATCTTAGATGTCCATCGTATCCCGCGCTTTCCTTCAGACGTTGACGTCTTCATGATCCAGTCGATCACCAGGAGAAAGAGAAAGGGTGAGAGTAAGCAACCTTGCCTGACACCGGTCTTCACTTCGAACGACTTTGTCAACTGTCCTCCATGCACGATTTTGCAGTGTAATCCATCATATGAGTTCTGTATGATATTGACTATCTTCTGAGGCACGCCGTAGTGTCGAAGAAGTTTCCATAGTGTTGTTCTGTCCACGCTATCAAATGCCTTTTCGTAGTCAATGAAGTTGATGTAGAGTGATGAATTTCATTCAATTGATTGTTCCACAATGATCCGTAGAGTTGCGATTTGGTCTGTACACGATCTATCCTTACGGAATCCTGCCTGTTGGTCACGAAGTTGTGCGTCTACGCAGTCCTTCATCCTGTTTAACAATACTCTGTTGAAGACTTTTCCCGGTATTGAGAGAAGAGTGATGCCCCTGTAGTTATCACAGTTGCTGAGATCGCCTTTCTTCGGTATTTTGATCAGTAGTCCTTCTTTCCAGTCTGTTGGTACTTGTTCCCCATCCCAAATCTTATTGAAGAGAATGTGGAGTATCCGTGCAGTTGCCGCTACACGGATACTCCGCCTGGAGTCCCTCTGGGGGCTACTGCCGGTCCCAAGCCCGGATAAAGGAGGAGGGTTGGGCATGGGGTTAGCGTCCCCATCCCGTAGAAAAATAACTCGCTAAAAAAACGCTAACCAGAAAATTTTGTATTACTATTATATTATTACTGAAACAATAAATTGGTAATTATCCCATTAAGATCCGATGGTCAATGAAGTATTCATATGTATGCGGTAAACATTCTTGAATGCCTGATAAAACAATCGAGACTGAGTACACACGACATAAGATTTGCGTGGTTTGCTTACAAATTGAACTAAGGGATTTAATTGGTTACATGGTTACGTGATATTTCAATCGATCAACTGAATGCGACCACAGTGTTTATTTGTTGTAGATAAGAAACGAACAGCCTCAAATAGATGGTGTTACGGATATTTTTTTATATTTGGGTGGATAATATTTAGAAATGACTATGAGATTAATGGGTGG